TGTGAATTCTGGCTGAATGAAGTGGCTTTTTTTAGGGAACATTATATCATCTGAAGGTGTGAAGGTTGATACTAGTAAGATTCAAGCTATTGTTGATTGGAAACTCCCTAAAACTCCAACTGAGATAAGAAGTTTCTTAGGTTTAGCAGGATACTACAGAAGGTTTGTGAAGGGCTTCTCTATTATAGCTTCTCCCTTGACCAAACTTTTAGGGAAAGACGCCAAATTTGTATGGGATGACAAGTGTCAAGAGAGCTTTAAAAAGCTCAAATCCTTGTTGACACAAGCTCTAATACTTTCTTTGCCAGCTGAAGGAAAAGATTATGTGGTATATAGTGATGCATCTCATCGTGGCTTGGGTTGTGTTTTGATGCAAGAAGGGAAAGTAATTGCTTATGCCTCTCGAAATTTGAAATCGCATGAGTTGAATTATCTCACTCACGATCTTGAACTTGCTGCCATTATTTTTACCTTAAAAATTTGGAGGCATTATTTATACGGAGAGAAGTATCACATATTTACTGATCACAAGAGTTTGAATTACTTGGGTACACAAAAAGATTTAAACTTGTGACAAAGTAGATGGCTTGAACTCATCAAAGATTATGATTGCACGATTGATTATTATCCTGGTAAAGCCAATGTGGTTGCAGATGCGTTGAGTCGCAATTCCCTTGCAAGTTTAACTCTAAGTCCTTTGCCTTTACTTCTTGAATTAAGAGCCATGAATGTTTGCCTTTCATTTAATTCTAATGGTTCTATCATTGCTAATTTGCAAGTCAATCCAGTCTTACTTGAGCAAGTCCAAGAAGCACAGAAGTTAGATGAGAAGTTTGTGAAACGAGTTGAAAAGTCCAAAATGGAAGAGAATCAAATTTTTCATTAAGGAAAGATGGTACCTTATTTTATAAAAATAGGTTGTGTGTTCCTAATGATGATGAATTGAGAAAGCAGATCTTGATTGAAGCACATAGTTTACCTTATGCAATGCATCCTGGAGGTACTAAAATGTATCGGACCATTAAGGAGCACTATTGGTGGAGTGGTATGAAGAAAGACATTGCATAGTTCATTTCTAAATGCTTGGTATGTCAACAAATAAAGGCTGAACATCAAGTCTCAACTGGTCTCCTACAACCTTTGTCAATACCTGAATGGAAATGGGAAAGGATAACGATGGACTTTGTTTCTGGACTTCCACGCACTCAAATAAATCATGATGCAATTTGGGTCATTGTAGATAGACTAACTAAGAGTGCTCATTTCTTGGTAATCAGAATGGACTACTCACTTGAACGTTTAGCAGAATTGTACATTAATGAGATTGTGAAGCTGCATGGAATCCCTGTTTCTATTGTGTCTGATAGAGATCCGAGGTTTACATCTAGATTTTGGTCTAGCTTGCAAGAAGCTTTGGGTTCCAGGTTGAATTTTAGTACCGCTTTCCATCCACAAATGGACGGCCAGTCTGAAAGGGTAATACAAATCTTGGAGGATATGCTTCGAGCCTGCATTATTGAGTTTAAGGGTAGTTGGGACAAACACTTAGCCCTAATAGAATTTGCTTACAATAATAGCTACCAATCAAGTATAGGCATGCCTCCTTATGAAGCTTTATATGGGAGAAAATGTAGAACGCCTCTTTGTTGGAATGAGGTTGGTGGAAGAAAATTTGTGGGTCCTGAGATTGTGCAACAAACTGAAGATAAGGTAAAAATCATCAAGGATCGTTTGAAAATTTCTTCAGACAGACAAAAGTCCTATGCTGATCTTAAAAGGCGTGAAATTGAGCATCAGGTGGGCGATAAGGTATTTTTAAAGGTTTTTCCATGGAAGAAGATTATGAGATTTGGCCAAAAAGGTAAACTTAACCCTTGATTCATTGGACCTTATGAAATACTTGAGAGAATTGGTCTGGTTGCATATAAGCTAGCTTTGCCACCTGAATTAGGTAAGATCCACAACATCTTTCATGTTTTTATGCTTCGAAAATACCGCTCAGATCCATCTCATGTTCTTATTATTGAGTCTATTGAGGTTAATCCTGATTTGACATATGAAGAAGAACCAATCCAAATCTTAGCGCGTGAGATAAAAGAGCTTAGAAATAAGAGAATCCCATTAGTGAAGGTTCTTTGGAGAAATCATTCAGGCGAAGAAGCTACCTGGGAGCGAGAAGAGGATATGCGAGTTCAATATCCACATTTGTTTCGGGACTAGTACAAGGTAAATTTCGAGACAAAATTTTTTTTAGGGAGAGAGAGTTGTAACACCCCAATTTTTTTTATAATATTTGCACTCTTGATTGGGCATTTTTATAACGAGGAAATATTTTACTTTGCACTTCCTAAATGTGAAATGGTCAATATATGAAAATTTCTTACTTTAGGTTGTGTTAATATTGGCAATGAAGTTCCATGATGTTGCTATATGTAACACTTAATATTATTTAGACTAGTTGTTATTAAATATAATATATAATTAAGTTTTTGGGTTTCCAACCTTTTGTATTTATCTAAGAATATTTAGTAGTTGGGTAACTATTTTATTTCATATCTATCCATAAACTCCCCATTTTTTTTCTACTCTTCAAGACAAAGAAGAGTAGCTATCCATTTCTCTCTTTCTATCTCTCTCTCTCTCTCTCTCCTCCGTAGAAACTTGAAAATCTGAAGTTTCATAAAAAAAACCATGGATTTCTACTAAATCAACAAGCAAATTTCGTTTTTGGTGAAGATCAAGTTGCTCCTCTTGGTAAGTTTCTAAACTCGTTTTTATACTAGACACCTACTAGAATTTTCTACATATTTTTTTGTACAGAGCTCCAATTTAAGTGATCCAGGACTTTCTGGAAAGGTATTTCATAAATCTATAACTCTTATGAAGGAACCAAAATCTAGTTTTGTGGTATTTACCTGAAAAAGGATCAGAAAGTACAGGGCAGGTGCTGTCTAGATTTTCATCACATTATGATAAATATCACATTATGGTGGATGTCTACTCTTCTTCCATGATCTTCATCTCAAATGCTTAATGACATATTCAATGACATATTTTGTATGTTCAATGACATATTCCATGACATATTTTTTTTACTTTTTATGCCTATATAAAGGCCTTGTAATAGATAGGAAAATACACACAATTGAAGAAGAAATAAGAATCTCTCTTCCTCTCTTTCTCTTTATATCTCTTAGTTTGTTTTTTCTTGTTCTATATTGTTATTTTGGGTTATATTTTATAACATATAGTAAGTTTAATGCAAAAAAAGAAGAAGCTGTAAGTTGGATGATCATATACGAGAATTAACTCCTTGATTTTGTTACCTAATCAAAGAGGCAAAAATTCAGTTGTACGAAATAATGGAAGTCATGATAGAGTAGCTAGAACGTAAAAATTAGTGGAGGATCAATGAGTGTAGTGAGATGGTTAGAATAGCTTTACATTAGCCGGAAGTCTTGGGTCAAGTTCTAAAAGTAGATTATCTTTCGTTGCAAAGCACTTTAGTGGACTTACTTGTTGTGAATTTCAATTAGTCGAATCAGTTGACTCAGGGTAAAAAAAGAAAAGATGGAAGAAGCTAGTGGAAGACTTTAAGCGTGATTGGCAACTTGGCTTCTTTCGGGTACCAAAATTTCAAAATTAATTGGATGGCACCACCAAAGGCAAATGGAACGCTTTTAGCAAATGAATCGTCATCGCAAAACTCAAGTGAAAAGTTGGATGGATTATATAAATTATAAAATCTAGTGGATTCAAGTTAGAAAACAAGTCAATATGGACGGATTGAAGGTTCAAAGAATGAGGCTAAGTTAGAAAGAGATTTCCCACTAAGCTGAGGAAAATAAGCATGGGTTGGCCACTGTACTAAAAGTCGATTCTAAGTTTCCACTAGCAAATATAATTAGATAGTAAGTAAGACTTTACTTTGAGATGGCAAAAGTTTGACATTTCTCGTATGAGGCATCGGATTTGAAGGATCACCACTGTGATACTGCTTGAAATTCAGTGCTTTTGAAAGATTAGTAGTTTTGTTTCTAAATAGTAATGGTTTAGTCTATAATAGCATGTTAATTAAATTCGTAAACAATGATAAACAAACATTTCTATTAAGCACTATGAAATAAACATTCATATTAAATCTAAATGTCCCACTATTAATCTGAAGTTTATATGAGTTATTATTTGAGATTGCTTTTATAAATTAATTTTTTTTAAAATAAAAGTTTGTCTGGAAGGAATATTCAAAGAGCACTTGGTGGAACACTAAAAACTGGGCAGAAATTTTAGTCATCCAGTGACATATAGTATTTCACCCATCTCAATTTGTTCGGCATGCTAATTTGATCCATTCTCTCATCTAATCAAACTTGATGATCAACTTTTAAAATTAAAATTTAACTATTCAAAAACTACGTAAAGGTATTTTAGGTTAAAACTACACTAGTATCAAAATGTTTTAAAAGAAAAAATATTAGCCAAAATAATTTACTTTATCTTAGCTAGTGTTTAGATTTGGTTGAAACTTGAAAAAATGAGTTTTTGAAGATGAGATGAAAAAATAAATTTTGAAAGTTAAAATTGTGTTTGAACATGCATTTTATTTGAAAAAAAATTTGAAATTTTGTGAGTAGAATTTCAGAAGATAAGGTTGATCAACATTTAGGGATAAAGAAATTGTATATGATAAATTCTTTTTAACAGAATGGAAAGGACCATCAATATAATGAGTGTGAATTCAACAATCAACACACACAGCTAGAGCGCACACAGTTATACCAATTGCCTAGCTTTATATATTTAGTGCCTGTCCCTACTTGGATTCAGTTTTGAATCCTAAAGGTCGATGTCTAAATGCGAATGTTTTATTTCAACAAATTTTTATAGTGGAGAATATAATATACAAAACATATTATATTCTTTTTGTCATAACAGGGGGAATATAATATGTCCCCGGCGTCGATGGATAACAAAGTGATGGCAAAATTGCTCATCAATTATCCCATCCTTACTTTAAATGTTTAAATGTAGCACTACATTTTTGTAAACAAATCTCCTCCCATTCGCTCAAACAAAATGAGGACATCATTACTGGAGAAAACCTCCTCTTCTCAGCTTCTAGCATTTTCGTTATTTTTTCACTCATGCTTAGCCATGAATATCAGCACTGATCAATCTTCTCTTCTAGCCTTGAAAGCCCACATCACTTCAGACCCTTATCGCATTCTTTCAACAAACTGGTCTTCTTCTACCTCTGTTTGTAGCTGGATTGGAATCGCTTGTGGCTCTCGTCATCATAGAGTGATTAAACTGAATATTTCAGACATGGGGTTTACTGGTACCATCCCACCACAACTTGGCAACCTTTCTTTTCTTATTTCTCTTGATCTAAGCTACAACAATTTCCAGGGTGAACTTCCACCAGAGTTCACTCGTTTGGAAAAGTTGAGAACCATTAATCTTAGTTTCAACAACTTCACTGGAGAAATTCCTAAATTTCTAGGTGATTTACAAGACCTTCAAATGTTCGCCATTGAAAACAATAGTTTCAGTGGGTTCATTCCTTCTTCTATCGCAAACATGAAGAATCTTGGATTCCTTAATTTAAGATACAACAATCTGGAAGGAAATATTCCTTTAGGAATAGCCACTCTTCAGAGTTTGAAATGGTTAAGCTTTGGATTCAATAAGCTCAATGGCTCTAATGTGCTCTCCATATTTAACATCTCGACACTGGAATATTTGGATCTCGGAAATGCCGGTTTAACTGATGATCTTCCATCTGATTTGTGTCGTCGCCTTCCAAGATTGCAAAGGCTTGGACTTAACTTCAACATGTTAAGTGGAGAGATACCAAGAAGTATATCAGAATGCTCGGAACTTCAAGTCCTATTGTTGTTGCAAAATAACTTGATTGGAGCAATTCCAAGACAACTTGGGAAATTACAGCTGCTGCAAATCTTAGCTCTTGGGTTTAACAAATTACAAGGTATCTTTTTATTTTTTATTTTTTATAAATAGTTATTGGGAAGCTATCAAGACCATAATCAAACTAGAATAGCAAGTTGTGCATATGAATCTCAGGCTGCATTTGACTAATTAGTTATCCAGTTATCAACAGGGCACTTCACTCTATTAGAACTTTAAACAATGTCTTTTCTTTAAATCTTGGTTGCATGTGTTGAAACAGTTCGAAAACTTTGTACAATGCAACCAATAGTTGCTGATTAGAGGAATCTCCACTGATGAACAGAAGCCCTGGAACAAGTTAATACAAGTATTTAACCATGCATTTCAACTTTGCCTTTGGCATTTCTGGTACAAGAAAATTCTGAAAATTTGGAATATGTAGAGTGGGAAGACTTTAAATTCATAAGGTCCAAGGCATTTTCGCTCCATTTTGATTGATAACTGGATGTTTGAAGCGTCAAAAACCATTAATTCATATAGTCTACATATATTTCAGCTCAGTTATTGGTTCTTGATAACATTTTCATACACGGAAATGATCAGAAATAGAACAGAAAGGGAAAGGGGCTTCTATTTAATTAAGAAGCGTACTTTAACAGAAGTTCAGCTACTAACTTGACCATATGTCCATATCCAAGTGGCATCGTTAAAAATGATCATCACTGGGTATCTCATACTTCAATGACAAAATATAAACACACGCAGCTGCATTGAGCTTTTCTTAGTATATTCTTACATCAGACTACTTAAAATATCTTCCTGTGACCATACACCATTATTTTTATCCCCTGAAATAACTCAACTTGTAGCATTAGGCACAGCGGCAGCTCTAGTCTTATTTTGAGCTAAATTACTTCTAATCCAGCAACGTTACTTAAATCAGTTCATGATTTTTTTTTTTTAAATCTTTCTGCTTAACAATTTACAGGCACAATTCCTGATGAGATTGGTCATCTTTATAACTTGAAGCAATTGGGCATGGAAAAAAATAAATTAACGGGCTCAATTCCTTTAACCATATTCAACATTTCATCACTTCAAGTTTTATCAATGTGGGACAACAAGCTTGAAGGACCTCTACCGAGAGAGGTCGGAAATTTGACTATGCTTAATGTACTTGATCTGGGAGTCAATAACCTCACAGGTATTGAATAATATTTAATCAGACAAGATATTGGAATTCTAGTTCTTCAAATACTTCTACTGATAATAATCTTACGGAATTTTGCAGGTGTACTTCCAGATGAGATCGGTAACCTTCAACAGTTGCTGCAGCTTAAGTTGGATTTCAATACCTTTAGTGGGTCGATCCCTGCTAGTATCTTCAATATGTCAAGTCTTGTATCTATTTCACTCACACAAAACCACATTTCAGGTAATCTTCCTTCCACTATAGGCCATAGATTACCCGATCTTGAACGAATTTTTCTAGGTGCGAACAACATTAATGGCTTTTTACCTAGTTCTATCTCAAATTTGTCTAAGCTTACCATTCTCGAACTCAGTGCAAATGAACTCACAGGTTCAGTTCCTGACTCTCTAGGAAACTTAAGATTTATTGAAATTCTCAACTTGCAAGACAACTCCTTTACTAGTGAATCTTCACCACTGAGCTTTATTACTCCTTTGGCCAATTGTAAACACTTGAGAGAATTGATATTGTCTCTTAATCCCCTAAATGCAATGCTTCCAAAGTCCATCGGCAATCTTTCTTCTCTTCAAATATTTGAGGCAGATGGATGTAACCTCAGGGGCCATGTTCCCATTGAAATCGGATATTTGAGAAATTTATCTTATTTGAAGCTGGAAGACAATGACTTGACTGGCATTGTCCCCAGAACAATAAGTTCTTTGAAAAAACTTCAACAGTTTTCACTTGGAGCAAACAAAATAAGTGGTCCTTTCCCGAATGGTTTGTGTGAGCTATCCAACTTGGGTTTGTTAAACCTTTCACAAAATCAAATGCAGGGAAGTATTCCTCGATGCTTGGGGGATGTAACTTCCCTAAGGGAGGTTTATCTTGATTCCAACAGCTTCACCGCTGGCATACCTTCAAGTCTGTGGAACCTCAAAGACATCTTGAAGCTGAACTTGTCTTCTAATATCTTCAATGGCTCTTTACCACTTGAAGTTGGAAACCTCAAGGCTGCAATAATTCTAGATCTTTCCTGGAACCAAATCTCAGGCAACATTCCTAATACATTAGGAAGTCTACAGAAATTGACTCAACTGTCTTTAGCTCATAACAGGATTGAAGGATCTATTCCTGAGACATTTGGAGAACTGATAAATTTGGAAGCATTGGATCTTTCATATAATAATATGTCTGGTGTTATTCCAAAGTCATTAGAGGCACTTAAGCAACTAGACTCCTTTAATGTCTCATTCAATAGGTTACACGGGGAAATTCCAAATGGAGGACCTTTTGCTGATCTCCCTTACCAGTCTTTTGTGTCAAACGAAGGATTATGTGGTAACCCTCAAATGCATGTCCAGGCCTGTCATGGTAAATCAAAGAAAAGAATCGTGATATTTATCGTCGTTGTCTCTTCTGTTATTGCTTTAGTAGGCCTTGCTTCAGTGATAGTTTTCATGTTGAAGAGACGTCATGGTAAAACAATCAAAGCTGATGATGAGTGGTTGCTAGATGTAGCACCACAAAGATTTTCCTATTATGATCTTCAAAGAGCAACTCGGGACTTTGATGGAAACAACTTGCTAGGTAGTGGAAGTTTTGGTTCTGTTTACAAGGGGGCATTAACAGATGGGATGATTGTAGCTGTTAAAGTTTTCAATGTGCAGATGGAAGGTACATTTCAAACCTTTGATAGAGAATGTGAAATTTTGCGGAATCTTCGTCACAGAAATCTCACCAAGATCATTAGCAGCTGTTGTAAGTTGGATTTTAAAGCATTGGTACTTGAGTACATGCCAAATGAGAGCTTAGACAAGTTGCTATATTCTCGAGATTATTTTTTAAACATAAAGCAAAGATTGAATATCATGCTTGATGTTGCATCTGCTCTGGAATATCTCCATCATAGTTACTCGGTACCTGTTATTCACTGTGATCTGAAGCCTAGTAACGTCTTGCTTGACAAAGACATGGTGGGACACCTGACTGACTTTGGCATTGCAAAACTCTTAACAAAAGAAGAATCCATTGCTCATACTACAACCTTTGCCACAATTGGTTACATTGCCCCAGGTGAATTTTTTTTATTTAAGGTGTGACAAGATTTTCGATTAACACATTATAAGTTAGTTACTGATATTTAATTTTTCATTTTCAGAGTATGGACTGGAAGGTCTTATATCCAAGAGGTCTGATGTTTATAGTTATGGTATCATGTTGCTGGAAACTTTTACAAAGAAGAAACCTAACGATGAAATGTTCACGGGAGATTTGGATTTGAGAAGCTTTGTGCATAATTCACTTCCTGATAAGCTGGATCAAATCATAGATGGCGACTTACTAACACTAGATGACGAAAACATAAGTGAAAAGTTGCAATGTGTGGCATCAGTTATGGAGTTAGCCATGAATTGCACAGCTAAATCTCCTGGTGAAAGGATGAACATGACTGATGTTGTAGCAGCATTGAAAAAGATCAAAGATCGGCTTTCTTCCTATTATGGAACGACCTAATGAATTGACAACAGGTACTCTCCAAATCCTATTTGCGAAGAGAAAAACAAGTTATGAAGGTCACCGGCATTAATCATCACTAATTGTTTCTCGAATGCTATTGCAAAAGATTGGGTTGCTTTAGGAAGTTAAAGGCATGGAAGCTCATTTACTTCATACTTCGAGAAGTTACTATAATTTTGGAGACTACTGTTACTAAAAGCCGCAGATAGCTAACTTGTGTACCTTTTTTTTTGTTAATGGTTAATATTAGCTTTAAGAATTTAAGCTTTATCCTCCATTTTTGTGCATAATCATTACTAAAGCATTGTTTCCTTTTCCTCATTCTTTACCAATCTTATATACTACATGGCATGTTATACTTGTCTCTCTTGTGTAGCAACGAAGAGAGCCTTTCCATTATCTAACTTTTCCAAGTATCCTTCCAATTAAATATACAAATGAATCCAATATCTCTCTCACGTTATGCAATTTTTCAGCCAAAGAAAAGAAGAGCTGCAATATTATAAGTATGTATATACCTTGAAACTATGCTGTTTTCGATAGTTATTTTGACTTGAGAGTTCCTTTTTGTAACTAAACTAACCTTTGAAAGTCAAGCTTTTAGATGGTTATGGCATTCAAGAGGAGGGATAACTCGAGTAAAGCAACATAACAATTAATAGCCACTGTAATACACTCTTAGTTTTTTTGAGCCTTCTTCTACCCCAGTATTGTTCTGTGTTGTTGTGGTTGTTGCGGAAGCCAAATGTATATAGTGTGAATAAGTCACAACTACTATACCAAAAATTATGACAGCCACCAAATAATAAATAAGACAATAAAGCAACAATAAAGGGAACACCAGAATTTACGAGGTTCGGCTAATTTTGCCTACTCCTCGGACACAACCAATATTTTATTTCACTCCAAAAATACAAGTGAAATAATACTAAAGAGAGAAGATACAAATGCCTTAAACAGATGAGAAGGCAAATGAGAGGTATGTTTAAATCCTAAACATTAAGCTTTCTTTTATAGGGGGGAAATCCCCCCAACTATTGCTAACCCACCGATGTGGGAAGCTGAAATATTTGACATTTTAACAAATCTCCACCTTGGCAAAAATTCCGCGTCTTCAATTTTCTCTCTATAACAAATTTTGGTTGTGTCTTCATCTTCAATCTTCAGTGTTC